GTTCTACTTACTGTTTGAAATAAAGTGAACTCTTCACAGAAAAAGAAAAAATATATATATTGTATAAAGCTGTGCTTCTGAAGTATATGCCAAAGACAATTTTGACTCATTTTTCTGTGCAGATTCTTTTTCCAAAGTAAGAAAAAAAAAAAAAAACAAACAACAAAAACAACCAAACATAATGCATTAGGAAAATTAAGAAATAATGTTTAAAAAAAAAAAAAAACAACAAAAAACCACCTTGCTTTAAAGACTTAATATTATACAAAATAGTAGAATATACTGTAAATTTATTTTTATGTTAATGTATTAAAATGAAATCTTATACAGTAAAGCATGTAGCATGTAGAAAATTCTCATTCCTAATTACAAAATATCATGCTTGGACATTATTAAACTAAAACATGCTCTTTATGAATTGTGGCCTTTACTTGGTGTGACTAAGATGCTTAGCCTGAGTGAACTGATAGCAGTGGATATAAACAGTGAATAGTTCAGATCTGTGCACAGTACACTGAGTGGGCTGTGCTGTTTGTCCACCTACTTTCCTGTGTTAAGATGCCAAGCAATACCTTGCCTTCCTTTACCAAAAGCATTTTTTTCTACCATGTCAACTGAGTTATAAATAATCTGAAAATAATCAAACAGGAAGAAAAAACAACAACAACAACAAAAAAACACAAACTGTTGTAATGTGCTTTTTTATTGCTAATTTTTTCAAGCAAGGTCTCTTTTCCACTGTGTGCTGAAGCTGTACTGAACTTCTCTTTTGTTACATGTTCAAACTGATTTCCAGATGATACATTTTGCTAGCAGTACCCCTGTTCTCTTCATAATTATCATGCCTGGCTGATCCAGAGACATTACTCCACTATTACACATTTGCGCTGAGGGTACAGAATGTTTCTGATTTTCTTGTCTCACCCTAAGCTTCCCTTAACACCATCTGCTGAAAAATACGACTTGTTCTCCTTCTGTTGCATCTGTATTTAATATAAACAGTAGATGCTTTCACTGAGGTTTTCTTAAACTATCAATTATCACAAGCTATCAAGCATAAAACTTGAATTCATTAGTGCTAGGTATAGAGTGTGTTATTTCCTAGGGGACATAATATCCCTGATTGGAGCTAAAAAAATTCCTGTACATCTGGTATTTGACCAAGTCAGTACTTTCTCTGGATGTCTAGATTATCTTACTTTATTCTGTTTATTTGACAGTCATTGGATAAGAATTTTGTAGTGGTGTATTAAATTTTAAAAAGTATAAATTAAATTTAACATTTAAGTATTGTAGAGATATCACCTTCAAAAGTAACATGGTATTAAAAAACAAAATCTAGCATATTTTCCAACTGTTGTTTACACCGAGTAACAAGCTAAAAGTTAAAATGGAGGTGTAAGAACTCTGCAATCAGTACGTTTAGAGAGCACTTCATGAATTAACAGCACTGTTCACATGCTTCTGTTGCCCTGTAGTGGAGCCTACTGCTCCACTATGAGAGAGTTTAGGGCCCAGGATGAATTCACGTGTCACAGACAATTCTGGTTCTTCAGGATTCTTCCCCTCCTTCCCTCACCTTCTGAAAAACCAAGATCTGAGCAAATGAACAAGAAATCCTGGGATTGTGTTGCAATTGTAAACCAGCCTCAGATAGGGTTAGGAGCAAGTCTTAGGGCTGGCTTGTTTGCTGCATTAGGGCGTGCTTCCCTTTCTGTTCCCTGCACTACTTTGTAGCCATGATGGCCACAGTGAATTGCTGTTTTGCCTTAAGGCAGAACAACCAGCATAAGATGACTTGTCTCTCTGTCAGTAGTTTCAAAGTACCATTCTGTAGCTTTCACAGTAAACCCCTTGGTTCTCTTTTTCACAAGTGTTACTCTTCTCGTACTGTGTTTTTTTTTTCCCTTTGGACTCTGGCATTTTAAGTAGACTTTGGGATAGTTCATCTCCAAACCGCTTTTTATTGGAGACAACTGCCTTCAGTAATCTAGGAAGGCAAGTAAGTGATGGAAGAAAATTTAATATGTTTAAGGTAATTTGTAATGCTGGGAAGACTCCTATGTGGCAAGTTGCTGGACAGAGAAAACCATTCAGGACTACTGATTCTCCGGAAGTAATTCTCATTTTATAATATTTTTTTTAATAATCAGCTTCCAAGCACTTTCTTTCTCTTCTGCAAGTCCAGCCATTAGAAATCACCTCTTTTTAACCAGAGCTCTTTTAGGAAAATTAACCAACTGGTGTACAGCAGGAGCTGGGAGGTGACTGTCTCAGCTGTAGTTAATCAGGAGCAGCTGTAAGGTAAATAGGCAAGTAAAAGCTGGGAGAAATACACACTGGATTATTAAAAGCCCAGATGCCTCTAGGCACATATTTTAGTGTCAGGGAGTAGTCATGCTTCACAACTTCTAGTGTACCTTATGACCCAAGTTCCTGTATACGTGCAAAAGCAATCTATATATTGCAATGGGTCAAATAGTTGGGGCTAAGACATATGTCTCAGGGTTTGAATTACAGTAGCTTATTGTCACTGTGTTATGAAGCAGATCTGATATAATTGAATTCTGAATAACATTCCAAAATGTTGTAGTTCCTCCCCATATTAAGTATGAAATCATGAAATAATCACATTAGTTTAAGGATGCATTAATATGTATCTCAGAGATGCCTTAAAAATAAAAATGACAAAATACCTGTTAGTAAAGAAACAGCATAACCAAAGAGTGTTTCAGAATGTATTTTTCCCCCTTGTAAGTAACACCAAATGTTTTATTAAGACTTAGAGTGAAATTGTACATGTTTCTGCAAGATTTGGGATAAAAAAGAATGTTTTATCTTAAAAAAAAAAAAATTCTGAAAATGAGCAACTACAGCATCTTTGATTGTATGGCCTGTTTTAAACATTTTTATTTGTGCAGTTTGAAATTCTTAGACTGACAGAGATTCATAGGCTTTAAGGATACTGCTGACTGTTTCTCCCGGCTTGCTTTGCTTTCCTTTTCATCCCCGTCTGCAGCTGCTCCTGATCAGCTGAGGACCAGATGAAGTGGCCGTGGTCACTTACCAAATCTACCTGGGAAGCAGATTAATTTTCTAAAAAGATCTCAAGTGAGAGGAGCTATTTTCTTATGAGGGTGCACTGAGAGAAGAACGGAGAGGTTATAAGCTGATAAATGAGATGTAGAGGAACGCATATCTTCTTGAGACCATGAGTAGGCTTGAAGAGCTGTGTCCTCTGTAAGAATGAAGAGGATAAAAAAGTAGTCGAAAAGAAAAAGACTTTAATGTTTTCATTTTCTCTCAAGTGTTATTGTTTATTCTCTCTCACTGGAAGAGAGAAAGGTATAGTTGCCTGAGGTAGGTACTAAGCAAGCCAAGTGAGTTGATGAGAATCAACTTGGGAACAAAAAGCTGGAATAGAAAGTCCGTCCTTTGCCAGGAAACTAGCAGCTGGTTTCTTTAGGGAACTGAAGTGACCACTTTCTGAAACCAAATCAACAATGTGAAGACACTAGAAGCACTGAGGACATCTGGCTGGTCCCTTGGAGTACAAGGGTGTTTAAGGAGCCCAGAGCAAAACATTTGGTTTCATTACTGTTTGTTCTGGAATGTTGCATGCCCTAAACTTTAATGCTGAAGCTGTATTTGGAAATAGTATGCGTAGGGAAGTGTTTTGCCTGCTAAAGCACTGCATAACTGAGTGCTCCATTTTCTCAGATCAGTCAAAAACAGTTTGCTGAAAACCATCCCTTAGTTCAAAATTATACTATGAAAAGTGGATTCTGATGCAAAAAGGCTTTGTTTAGCTTAATCTACAAATCAAATTTTTGCAGATAAAATGGCTTTAAGCTGACTGTGTCTCTGAAAGGAGGGCAACCTGGGTGAACTGAGTGGGACTTCTAATGTTTGTTCTTCTACCTGCTTTATGTGTCTGTATTTGGAGTATTAGGAGTACTGCTTTATTGGTTAGTTATTTCACTGTAGAAATCATAACCAGGTAAAATGTGGGTATTGTGCTCTCTTGAGCTGAAATGGATTTATTTTAAAGTGATTTAACAAAATAGTGTAAGTACCACTATGGATAATTTTAATAGACAAACCCTTCATTTTTCAAGCAGAGATGCTTATCACAGTTGAGATGTGTGCCCGAGTACCAGGGGAAACACAATTCAAAGCTAGTTTTCTCTGAAACTGTATTTGAAGTATTGTTGAAGAGAAATTTAATCTCACTGTTCTGCTTATACTTAAGAGTCCAACAATTGTCTCAGCATTGTTTCGGTATCATTGGCAAATCTAACTTGTTGTATGAAAGTTTTATTTTACTCATAGAATTGTGGATATGTAATTGAGAATTCCATAAAATTAACAGAGGAAGATCTTTGAGACATTTTATGAGGTGAAAAGAACACAGTTTTTGTTTGTTTTTTTTTCTTCCAATTTAAATAAGTGTTCTATTAGGCTATTAGGTTTTTGAAGCAACAAACAAAGGAAAAAAAAGGCCCATGGAACTGTGAAAAGAAAAAAAAAATTGTGATGAAGAGTAAGAAATGGATTAAAAGCTCTTTTCCCTTAACTGCAAAATGAAGTTTTACTTACCTGCCAACTCCAATCTGAGGGAACAGGGCCAAGGAAAATAACTTCTGTTCCAGAAGCAGAGATGGCATAAATTTTGTTCTGACGTTTATCTAGGAGTAAGAAATTTGTCATCCTTATGCTCCAGTCCTGGACACAGGAGAAAGATTGAGCTCTGTGCTGGAAGGTTTTTGAGGGCAGCTCTGTGCCTCTTCTTCAGTCCTGTTCTGAACCCTATACAAAGCTAACTTAGGAACATCTCAACAGATTTTATTCTTTATGTCCTGTGTTTATCAATAAAGGTATTGGAAGAAGCTAATTAGATATGTTCCAGTGCCAATATACTAATTGAACTGTTATTTTTGTCTTTGTGGTCCATCCTGTGCTATCAGTTTGAGACAAATAATTGTTTTGTTTCATTGTAGGGAAAGGTGAACACGGAAAGCCGTACCCTCTGACAGAGGAAGACCATGATGATTCAGCTTATAGAGAAAATGGCTTCAACATATTTGTTAGCAACAATATAGCACTGGAGAGATCTCTGCCAGACATCCGACATCCTAAGTATGTAAATTGTCCCATGGACTATTTCACTCTAAGGTTTTTCTCTTTGAATATATCTAAATAAGCTGCTTTCTTGGGAGGTGAAATAGGAAAGCTCAGCCAACAAAGTGCCAGTTTCATTAAATAGGAAATATTAAATTTTTCACTGTATTTGGATCACATTCTCTGTCTTTTAAACCAGCTTCCCATCTTATTATTTACATACTGTGACTATAGAAGACCACTTCTTGTTACTAAATGATTTAATGACATTCCTTGTAGTGATTTCTTAGATAGAGATAAAAAATACTTCACATTTAGAAAACTTTATTCAGGTTCTCTCCTGTTAGTAGTTGCAGAGCTTTGATGGTAGATTTAGAAATTGCATAAACCCTTATTGGACCCATAAACCCATTTTTGGACCAGTGTCTCCAAAAAAATTTGTGCTGGTTTTGTTAGGTAAAAAAGCTTGAGATCTTAATGGGACAGGGAGAGGGAGAGAAATACAATTGCATCTTTCTCTTCCATGCTCTATTAGTAAAATTGCAGAAGACAATTATTAAATACAAGAGAGGTGGCATGTCTATGCGCTCTGTATGTGTTTGCATGCTAACCCTCTGATAGTTTGTTTCTCACTCACTGCTATCTGCACAGTCATTGACATTTCCCCAGTGTGTCCCCAGGAGCGAAGGGAATAATGTGATCTCAGAAGTGATGCGGTAGAAGCATGTTGGTGCTGCGCCAGCCTTTCACTGTTCCCCCCTCCTCTTCTGAACCTAGCCCTGTCTGTCACTGAGTTTGCTTGAGTGTCTCACTTGGGAAACTTGAACCCTGAAGGCATCATTTTCATGTTCTAATTCAGCTATGTTCCTATGACCTTCATGAAATCACATGTGATGGATGTTATTATAGTGTCCTGAGTGAACTGACTTGTTGTGTCCACATTACTTTCCTTACATTAATTCCTTGTAACATAAACTGTCCACTAGTTAACTGACTTCATCATCTCGTAAGGCATATTTCTGTGCACAGCTTGTATACTAAGTATAATGAAGTGACAAAAGTAGGTTCTGTGCTTCTGGTGGTTACTCCTTGAAACAAATTAGGATATGATTTAAAAAACCAGATCAAATAGTTTTCTTGCTGTCTGTAGAAACTTCGAAAGAAAAACTACAAGCCTTCATGAATGCAATAAAAACTGAGTAATGAATCTTGCAATTAAGACCAAAATATATTTAAACAGCTGTAGTAGTGCCTGTATTTCTGAAATCACTCCTGTAAAGTTACATTATTAGAAATTCTTGAACCAAATAAACTTCAAGTCCCACATCTAAGAAAATAATAATCTGAAAGTATGCAGAGATAGAGATAGATAACCTGCTCTTTTGAGTTCAAAAATGAACTTTTTCCTTGTTCTCTTTGGAAACTGGGATCAGGATTTGCAAAATATGTATTTTGATAAGTGGATGAGGGGCACCAAGCAAGTAGTTAGAAGTTTGGGCTCTGAGAAGCTCAGTTTCTCATTTTTGCTGTGGGCTTTTTAATAGTATTCTTGCTTATTTACTTTGAGTCTGGAATTTTAGCGTGCTTCAGAAAGATGTGTTGAGATAGATGCTCCTTTCCTTTTTAAGAAATGGAAATGTGTTTGCTGTAAAAATCTCTAGAGGAATGAAACAGTTCTATTTTAAGGCCACTTTAACAACTTTGCTGAGTCCTTTATATGTTTTTGTTGCATTCTTATATTATCTCCCATATCAATTTTTTTCTCTTCTAGCTGCACTTGAACAATATTTCTGCCATTTCTATGTGCTCTTTCATGTCTTATTTCTGTACAAGTTTCATGGAAGTAGATGCTCACAGCGTTAGTTAACTAATCCTCTGTTCTTTGTCCACCATCAGCACCCAGCCTTAAGAACCAACCTTACTGAGCTGTTTTTGTTTATCTATAGAAACAGGACTTGCAAGACAGATCAGTGCAAAGTGTATCTGAATATATCAAAAATATCAAAATCTGACAAATTTTGCTTGTTCCTCATATATGGTCTTTGGTTTTCCATTGAAAATTCCATGCAGAAACTGAGTTTGGAAAGGGGTCAGTTTTGTTTTCTATATAACAGCAGAAGACTAGGGAAATCTTAGACGTTTAAGTTGAAGGAAAAGTCATCTCTGGTAAGAAACAGTTCTTTTGCCTTTGGAATGCATGCATTGTTGCAGGCATTGTCAATGGCTAATTCAAGATAAACATCCTGCAATAACATCTGAAAAAAGTATATAGCTTTAAGGCTATTCAGAGTTCAGAGCATAGAAAAATGGGATTTAAGTATATGTTTGGTCTTTGCTTGTTGTTGTTGTTTATTATTCCAAATGAAAATCTGAAACAGGAATGCCTTCTCAGTTCATTGGGATTTCAGGATGTGGTTAGTGACAATAAGACTGCTTCTCACCTAAAGTTGGAGGCAACAGTTGAGTTCTGGGAAACATTTAGAGTTAGCCATGGAATTGCTATTAAAAGTTAAAATTCTATACTAGCAGTAAAAATATTTCAAAATGCAACAGAACAGGAGGCTGTTTGTTGTTGTTTGTTTTTTTTTTTTTTGCTGGCCTGTGTCACTTGCTTTAGCCTGGAATACAAAAAACTTCCTAAAGATAGCAGATAAAATTGTGATCATTTTCTGTTGGAAAGGAAAATTGCTGTTGAATTGTTTAACAGTTACCATTAATTCTTATCTTCTCTGCATTTTGAAATAATCTGTGTTTACTGGTTTTGTTCAAGTAAAAACAAATCTGGTTCATGTTTGAATAACATTCAAAATGGAATTGTGATGAGGCTTGGGGGAATGTTTGCAATCACATAGCCTAAATAGTGAATATAACTTGTGGTATATACTCTGTTTGAAACTCCTAATTCCTCATAAACCAGAGCATCTAATTTTTTAGCTGTTCATTCTTGAATGAAAAGAATTCAAGTTGATTCTGGTTGCCAATAAACTGCAAGAGTTATGATTCAAGATCTTCCATGTTGTAGGTGTGTTCACATAGGTTTATTCCAACAGCAATCCTTCTATCTGTGGTTTGTAAAACACTTGTTTATACTTGTGCATGCAGAGATGTACAAATCCTTTTTGGCTTACCTAAATAATCTACTACCAGAAATCTCATCCTTTTCAGGTTTCCAGAGCTATAGATAGATCCATTTTATACTGATACCCAAAGTAATTCATACTAAGGATGCCCATCCGGATTTCTGTGACATTTGTTTTCAGCAGGCATGGTCTGGAGTCAGTGTTTCTAAGTGTTGAGTGGTTCTTGCTGTATGAGGTGGGGGCAATGGTAGCCCAGTAGGCTTCCTCTCAAAGTCCAAGCAATGTTTGTTGATGTTATATTTCTTACAGGCCTCTGAAAAGATGCAGCCCTAAAATATTTTTCTTTGGAAATAAAAATGGAATATCATCTGTCTCCTTAACACTAACTAATGAGGTTGTTCTGTTTTCATAATTAAACAAACAAACAAAAACAAACAAACAAACCACCACACATTTCTCTATACTTGTTCTGCATAACTGAAGCTCTTCAACTCCTTATCAGCAATAGAAGCTGAGAATGCCTGAATGGTTCTATTTCAAAATGTTTGAATGCAGTAAGGTTGCTGTCCCTTCTATTTTTAAATGAAGCTGAAAAAAAAAAAAAGCAGGGAGACTTCTTAAGTTTTTTTGTTTAGCTGTGGATTTGTGGACTTGTTTGCTTTTATTTTGTGTTCTGCTTTATTTGTGTTTTTTGGAGGGGTCTGTGGAACAGTCATGGAGTTACTGTTATTCCTTAATTATATTTTAGTAAATTTTGCATTAACTCTTTAACTCCTAGTGCACTACAGAATGCTCTGGAGTAACATGATGTTACAGGAATATCTATAACCAAAAATCATAAAAACATGACAACATAGGATTGCTAGACTTACATGGGAGAAAAATGCATTTTAAAAATTCAAGCTGGTGTTTTAGTTCTGTAATCATTCAGTATTTAATATCTGAATCCTCTAGCATGCTGGTTGATGTTAGTTGCCCTCCAGACCCAGTTCTTCTGCAGCTCCATTCCCTCCAGATGAGAAGCTGGCTTCTCTGCTTTCCTTTTTTTATGCTTAATGATGGAAAACTCCATGAGAAGTTGTAAAAGTTAGCTCAAAGGCACTTGAGTAATCTCTGCAGTAGTCAGTAGATAAATAATTCAGTGCCATCTCATTGCTCAGAGGGCAGATGTCACTGCTATCCAGGGATGCTGAAGAGGCACTCTGGGTGTGCTTAACTTAGAACAGCTACTAGCTAGCTGATGCAACTTTTTTTTTCCTACCTTGCTTACTCCTATGCTTAGTTTGACTGCAGTCTACAAACCACAAAATCTACTAGCCCACTTCTGGTACTTGAGAAAAGTGTTAGTTCAGACTTCTCAGCATAGGGCTGCCTTTCTTTATATTAATGTTTATTAGTATTATATTAAACTTATCTGGCCACGGAGCAGCTGATTAAGCACAAATTGTTCTTCTATGGGGGTAGTAATAAAGCTGGAGGTTATTACTGATAGCTTTTTCCTGTTGCAGTTACTGTGTAATGTAGTGAAGGTGGAAAGTCATGCGTGCCAAAACATGATAGGCAATGTCCCCATTTCCAAGCCTCGCCAGATTGCGCTCTGCAATTGCTTCAGGGCATCTCATTCAAAGTTTGTAGCTCCTCAAAAACAGGATCAGAAATATTTTATACTTGAGAAAACTTGTGGCTTTCTGTCTCTATCAGTTCCTCTGCAGTGTATGCATTGGTAGTACCAATGGAATAATTCCTAGGTGCTTTCTGGATGCTTTGTGTGCCTGTTTTTATAACAGTAACAACTAAAATGGGGCCAAAGACTGATGATTCCCTCTCCACCCTGTTGGTGAGGAGCAGTATCTGCGGTGTTGAGTAGGTCAATAAGGATAGCCCAGATTAATGGGTCTGTTTACTAGAAAAAAAAAAAAATTAATAAGCGAAGCAAGC